GACTCCATTCACCGTAAGGAATTACTCACATTTCAACAATGTCAATGTTCCATCAACCGGTGATTATTGCTACTTACTTAGGTAGAGTTATTCTGCTGCTTAATGACATAAAAACTTACCTCCGTCTCCATGGGGCGTTGCTATCTTGTCCTACTTCAAAATTTCGCCGAGTGCAGGGCGCCTCGTTATTTAAATACGCATGTTGAGCAAACTACAAATAAAATCTTAAGTCTATCGTTAAAGCACTATCACTTGAAGTAAATCTACACTTTAACCCTCGCCCTGGCAGGGCATTTTTCATAACACGGCCTGGCAGGGGGGGGGGTCGATGCGACCCCCCCCTCGCGATTGGCTCCTATGGCACCTAGAAACACCAAATTTGGTAGGTAGGTGGGCCCCCTGGAGTTCTCGCCCCTGTGCAAATTTGGTTGCTCTAGGTCAATATTTAGGGGGGTTTTGGGGGGTATAAATGTAAAAATTTCGCTAAAAACAGGTCAAAAGTTTTTCGCTTATAACTTTTGATCTAATTAAGATAGAGCAAAAAGAAAAGCACCAGTGAACTCAGCACGTCAAGGCGCGTCGAATGATATGCTTTTTAGCTTGCTTAAGTGTACTTAAAGTTTTTCTTAAATTTTAAGTAAACTTAAATTTATAAATTAAGTTCAAGTTAACCAAATTGCATCATATCGCATATCATTCGATTCGGCTGATCACCAGGAACACAATGATACCATTTTTTAAGCTCTAGCGTCATTGTGTGCCAAGTTATTGGCAAAAACGTCATTTGACCTCAGTTGACCTCATTTGACCTGACCCATCGATAAGTACACCAAACAAAGAAGCACCAAGTGACCTGCTGTTAAGTACTGTGGTTTCAAAGCACAAAAGTGATGGAATGAAGCGGATATCTCCAGTATTTTCCGAATTTAGTATTTTCCCATAGGCTTAACATTACGACGTAATGACCTCTAACTGACCTCAGGTCAGTGACCTAAAAAAACCCGAACTATATGTCATACAACTCGGTGAACTTAGCACATCCTGAAAGTTTGAAGGAAATCAGTCCATAACTGTGAGTTGGACAGGTGTAAAAAGAAAATTGAAATTTGACCATGACCTTGTACCGGTTTTTCTGACCTGGTGACCTGACCCTAGATCACTCGGACCTGAAATTTTCAGGTCATATGTAAAAAGGTTGCCCCATAGGCTGTGCCAAATTTGGCGGCGCTGCGCGCCGCCGTTTTTACGCTATCTTCGAAAAACCTTAGGGGGGGTCGCATCGACCCCCCCCTGCCAGGGCGAGGGTTAAACAACGTTTGGCGACATTACAAGCGCGTTAATTCAAATAAGTTCCTCTCCCCGCTCACACCACACGCACCCACGTGGGCACACTTCCGGCAACTGAAGTCAACGGCTTTCCCAACGGTTTTCCTGCAAGGTCGAGCTATTTCATCTTCGTGGCGGACCGGCATGGCTAGAACACAAATGACGTCACACGACAATGCAGCTTGCTGATTGGCCGGCCATTGACTCAAACCACTGGACCTGAGCTGTGGTTCGCACCAGGGTTACAGAGTCAGAGTCAGAATTGGGTGGAGTTGACAGAACTGTGGCCGGAGTCAAAGTCGGAGTAGACTTTGGAAGCCGACTCTTCCAAGTCGGAGTCGGAGTCTGAGTCACCGAAAATCAATTGATACCGCAGCGTATCCGGACAAATCTTTGCATGGCATTTCTTCGTCGCGCAATTCTTCGTCCGCAAAACTTCGTCCGCTCATTTCTTCGTCTCCGCCTTTCTTCGTCTTGCATTTCTTCGTCTCGCATTTCTTCGTCTCGCATTTCTTCGTCTCGCATTTCTTCGTCTCGCATTTCTTCGTCTCGCATTTCTTCGTCTCGCATTTCTTCGTCTCGCATTTCTTCGTCTCCGCATTTCTTCGTCCGCGCATTTCTTTGTCTCGCATTTCTTCGTCTCGCATTTCTTCGTTTTGCATTTCTTCGTCTCGCATTTCTTCGTCTCGCATTTCTTCGTCTCGCATTTCTTCGCCTCGCATGTCTTCGTCTTGCATGTCTTCGTCTTGCATGTCTTCGTCTTGCATGTCTTCGTCTCGCATTTCTTCGTCTCGCATTTCTTTGTCTCCGTATTTTTTCGTCTCGCATTTCTTCGTCCGCACATTTCTTCGTCTCCGCATTTCTTCGTCTCGCATTTTTCCACAAATCTTCGTCCGCAAATTGACAGTGCAGCCTGCTGATGGGGCTATTGCCTATTTCATCTTCGTAGCGGACCAGCCATGGCTAGCACCAAACATGTGCATGGATCCGAGCGATGGATCTATGATCTCAGTGGATCTCGAAGCAAACTGCAGGTAACAGGTTAGAATCTATGATCCCATCGGATCCGTCGTGAAAAACTCATCTTGGATCTATGATCTCATACGATCTGACGATAAATCAAGAACATGGATCTATGATCTGAGTGGATCCCACCATGCACAACATTTGAAATCATGTTTTAAAGGGTTTCTGTATCAATAAGTGCCACAAAACTATGGATTATGACGTGCGAGCACATAAAATCACTCAAACAGAACGGTTATGCGTTGCAACAAGTGTTTTTTTTTTATTTCTGTGCTGACAAAAAATAAGTGAGGATCTACGATCTCACAGGATCTCAAGCAAAAAATGAGACTCGAATCTGTGATCCCTACGGATCTCTCGATAAATTTGAGAGCTGGATCTATCGGTTCCCCCCCCCCTTAACCCTCGCCCCGTTGGGGGGGGGCCATTTTGGCCCCCCCCCCCCCCTGTGGTTTTTCCTGAATAGCAAGAAAACGGCGGCGCGCAGCGCCGCCAAATTTTCAGTACCTTTCCGGGCATCAATTTGACACCTTCACACCAAATTTCAAGTCTTAGGTCACCTTAGGTCAGGAGTTATTGAGGTCAAACTGAGGTCATGTTCGAGCAAAAATGAGCAAAAAACATGCAATCTTGAAACGCTCACCAAATCTACAGTTATCAAGCAATTTCAAAGTTCTTTATATGGTCTAATAGACAAAAAGCGGCGCTACAAAACTGCTATCTCGGAATTTCAAAATTTTTGGTTTTTGACCCAAAAAAATTCAAAAAATTGATTTTTTTAGAAAAACTAAAAAAAAATCCAAAATTTTTCCGAATTTCGAAAAAACCGGAACATATGTGATAGTCCCTGCGCTCTTCTATATACATACCAAATTTCAGATCGATATCTCGTTTTTTGGCCAAGTTATAGCGAAAAAACTGTTCAAAAATGATGACGTCAAATTTTTGAACTCAATTTTTATCGATTCTAGACCTCGTACGGCAAAACAAAGACCACCATTGAACTCCCCGTGACGAGCTGCATCGATTCGATACCCATTTTATGCAAAAATATCAACTTTGAAATTTGACCTTATTTGACCTGACCTTGACCTGACCTTGACCTGACCTTGACCAAAACGTGACCTAAGCTGGCCCCAAAGGCTGCCTGACCCACATAATCGCATTTGTCATGTAAAATGGACCATAAAACATGTATCACACGACACTTTCATATTGTGACCCCCCAGTGACCTGACCTCAGTGACCTGACCTGGTATCAGTGACCTCAACTAGCAAAATATGTGTTTGAAGAACATTTCCCCATCGATGATTTTCAATGAAATGCATTTTACTCGATTTTACAACGCATTTCTTGAAATGCCTGTAAACGGTGAAAATTGGACCTTTGACCTGACCTGTGACGTCATCGGTTTGACCTAGGTCAATAAAATTGGGTCACAAGGTAGTTCCCTGATAGGGCTATCCAACACCGTTTGCCGCTTGTCGCTACGTTGCGTGGTTCTCGAGATCTTAGGGGGGGGGGCCAAAATGGCCCCCCCCAACGGGGCGCGTTGCTCGGCAGAGCCCAACGGGGCGCGGGTTAATTGAAGATGTTCCGCCGCTATACTGCTATCATGAACCCTATGGGTGTCATTTCACTCAGTTGAGCGTTTTCGTAATCCGTGACTCGCTTATTAGGTGTAATTTGACCCTCAGTGGTGCCATAACATTTCCGGTGTCATTTGAACCCAATGGGGCTCAAATGACACCGGAATATTATGACACCACCCAGGGTCAAATTACACTCAATAAGTCATTTGTACGGAATATTATGACACCACTGAGGATCAAATTACACCTAATAAGGGAGTCGTGGATTGCGAAAACGCTCAACTGTGTGAAATGACACCTATAGGATATAAAAACTCCTCATGATAGCGTCAAAAACGCTTAGATGTGTCATTTTACACTGACACCTTGCAGGATCTTTTGACACGACACCTAAAATGGGAGTCAAAATTTTGGGAGTCAAATGACCCTTGGGTATGTGATTCTGACCGAGATCAATTTACACTAAAAAACGGTGTATGGACACCGTTTTTCAGAATCGGATTACACCATGGGTGTCAGTTGATTCCCAAATAGGGGATCGTGATTCCCGGGGGGAGTAATTATTTTTCTCCGTGTACTGTGCACCTCGGTGCCCGGTCAGACAGCGTCCCCGTCCGACTGACCGCCGAGCCGCACCGCACCGCGGTCACGTGACCGAGCCGCCCGACCCGACACGGCGGTCACGTGACCGAGCCGTCCGACTCCACCGGGAGGCGGTCACGTGACCGAGGCCGGCCGTGCCGCCGGGACCAGGCGCGGTGAACCGAGTCGAACGGTCCGGGAGGGCCCCCATTTATACAGCTAAGCTAAGATGTGGGTTCTATATACAAAATATCACAATGTCACGATCAGTTACTACACTCAATCACATCACTTTTCACTGTCCCATTACCCACAATACCCGCCCGGTAATTACCCACTGGGTCACATCCCTCCAGCCAATTACCACCAATACCCGCCCGGTAATTACCCACTACATCACATCCGTGTGCTACTACTACATCTACACTACAACTACTACAACTACATGACTACACTAGAGCGGACACGGGGGCCGTGTGCCGGCTGACCGGCGCCGCTCTCAGTGCCGGCTGGTGCAGCACACACGGCAGCAGTCAGCTGGCGGCCCCGGCCGACTGGCTCGGCCTCTCTGCAGTCAGCTCATCACTGCACGGTCGGTAGTGCAGCGTATCAATACTACCACTTCCACACTGTGACCCGACCGCCTCCCTGGCTCTTCAGCTGATCGTACAGCTCCCCTGTGGACAGAGCAGAGACACGTCTGAGGTGGGCACGTCACACACAGACAGACACACACACAGCGGTACAGCCATGTCCACACACCGCCGGCCAGTGACGTCACACACAGGACAGACGGCTGACGTGACGTCACCGTCGGCCGTGGTGGCCGTGACGCGTCACGTCACCGTCCGTGACGTGGCCTGCGGCGGTGGTCGAGTGTGTGTGTCTGAGAGGCCGGTGGCGCCGTGCAGCGTCTGTTGTGAGGGACTGACTGGTCAGAGGCGCGGCGCGCGGCGCCCTCTCACCTACCGGGGACAATGAGATTGATGGTACGGGGCTCGCCATCACTGTCCCGGCCCAGGTCCGCCTCCTTCAGGGCGGTCAGCACGGCCCGGCCGGTGTCTGCCGTGCAGTGAAGGTACAGCGACCACAGCTCCCGACACGACTTGACCAGTCTGTAACAGAGCAGAGCAGCAGAGCCGTCACACACAAACACAGCGGCACCAGCCGGCCGGACGTACGAGTCAGTGTCAGTGTCAGTATTTCAGTGTCGATGTGTTGGTGTCAGTGACAATGCGTCAGTGTCAGTGTGTCAGTGTCAGTGTGTCAGTGTCAGTGTATCAGTGTCAGTGTGTCAGTGTGTCACTGTCAGTGTGTCAGTGTCAGTGTGTCAGTGTCAGTGTGTCAGTGTCAGTGTGTCAGTGTCAGTGTGTCAGTGTCAGTGTGTCAGTGTCAGTGTGTCAGTGCCAGTGTGTCAGTGTGTCAGTGTCAGTATGTCAGTGTGAGTATCAGTGCCAGTGTGTCAATGTCAGTGTGTCAGTGTCAATGTGTCAGTATGTCAGTGTCAGTGTGTCAGTGTCAGTGCGTCAGTGTCAGTGCGTCAGTGTCAGTGTCAGTGTCTGACAGGACACCCCTCGCCAGTGTCTGCTGACTGACCTGGTGTACGCTGCTGCCGTGAAGGCCGTCTCTGCCGGCCGCTGGAGGTCCCCCAGTGTAAGGTCCTGCAGCCCGGGCCAGCCGCTGAGACTGTCCAGCACGGCGTCAGGGACGCCGCCGGACAGGGTGAGACGCTCCAGCCCAGGGCACCTGGTGAGGGGCTCCAGGCTCACGGCGTCAGGGACGCCGCCGGACAGGGTGAGATCCCGCAGCCTAGGGCACCTGGTGAGGGGCTCCAGGCTCCCTGTGTCAGGGACGCCGCCGGACAGGGTGAGTTCCCGCAGCCCAGGGCACCTGGTGAGGGGATCCAGGCTGCCGGCCGTGAGATCAGAAAAGTCTAGAAAACACACAGACACACATAACAGACAGGATCAGTCGGCAAAAATACATGTCAATATAGGAAAAAACGAAACAGTTATGAATTCGCATGCTTTTCTGAACACAGACACAGTAGACGATGATATAACAGTGGTACTATATTATATGAAATCAGTTCAGCCAATGCATTGAAGTGCATTGAATATTGCATTACAATCGCATTATGTACCTATGTTAAACTAACTCAACTAACTATGAGCGAATATGTCACTGATTTAACAGTCCTCCTCCATTTTGAAGCTCATTTAGCTTGATTATATCGCAACCCACATTGGCTCCCTCGCCCGTAAACGGCGATCTGCCACCTTCGCCCATGCAGGGGGGGGGGGGTTGGTGCGACCCCCCCCCTTGGCATTTGAAAACGGAACGTCGTAGAGCTTAGCGGAAAAGACCAACGGATTGCTCTCGCCGAGATCTCGCGATTGGTGGTATATTTTTTGGTCCTAGGTCAACATTTGACCTACTTTTGACCGGTCAAAGGTCAAATTTTCGGAAAAATAGACTTTTTCAACTTTCCGCGGCGATTGCGGCAAAACGGTGGGAGATATCGACTTGAAACCTTCACTATCGTGTTCCTTGATCAATTCTCTATTGTTTTTGGTATGTATTTCGTTTCCCTAGCTCTAAAAATTGCGCGTTGGGAGCGCCGAAAGTCGGCAAGGTCACAGTCGGCGGCAGAAATTCGAAAAATCAAAATTTAAGTTTTTGAAATCTGATTGTATTTTTGGATTTCGGAGGTCCATTTGCTCCCTATAGAAGCTAATATTGCTGAATATTCCCATTGAGGTGACAAGAATTAGCAAAATAGTGGTTCGGGCGCTTTTCAAAAATAGTACCGGACGCTGTTCCTCTTGTAACGTCATAGCTCCGTGACCTGACCTGACCCGGTCAAGTTTCTTATACCATATGATAGCCAATACTTGCCCCAACATGCATTAGAAGTTTCATCACGATCCATCAACCGATGACGGTACCACCGGCAGGAAACCTCGGGCGTTGGCACTCAGTTTGTGAAAATCCGGCCGGAGGCTGTTCCCTTTGTGACGTCATAACTCCGTGACCTGACATGACCCGGTCAAATTTTTTTTTTATCAAAAGATGCGCAAGGTTTGCCCCATAAGGTACCCAAAATTTGGCGGCGCTGCGCGCCGCCGTTTTTGCACTATTTCCGAAAAGCCTCAGGGGGGGGGGTTGCAACAACCCCCCCCTACATGGGCGAGGGATATATCGCACCCCTCTCCAGGGCCCAATCTTATAAACGTCGTGAAATGGATATGGCAGCACTCTAAGGCTGGATATATAGTACGCAATCTTATAAAGCTCTGTGAAATCGAAAACACGGCACGCTCTTTACGGTTTTGGTAACCGCCAGTTTTGGATGTGCCGTAGAATGATTTCAGCCGTGAGCAGCTGTGCACATCTCAAAACACCGACAATCATCAGCTGTTTGCAGTTTCAGCGGCGTCCATTTCACGCCAGAATTTGTGGCGTACTTACACGAGCTTCTCAGACAATTTCATTGATTTAAGATAAATTCTACGTTTCTATGATATACATAGGTATGCAATATTTTACATTATATTTTTAAGATTAAAACCTCCTCCACATATTTAATTATTTATTATAATGATGCTTATTATGCAGACAACGATCAATTGCAAAATATGTATTTCCAGAAACTAAATGCACACTAAAACACCTAAAAACGAGTGTTCATCGTTATATGGCTTTATTTTTCAAATTAAAAGGGGATTTTTAAGAGGATTTTAGCACCAGTAACCGTCTTAGATTTTCGGCAGCCACTGCACATTGTAGAATCGGTATGGGTCTTTAGCCTATTCTCACGTCTCACGTATGACACAAATAACGGACACTTCAGTTCATGGCTTCTGATTAGATATTTAAATAAATGATATACCTTAGTTTGTCAAAAAATTGTAAATGCCTACTCACTATTCGTATTTCCTTACTTTCTGTCTGGCACAGTTACGGATCAATCTGTTGTTTCTCCTCCTGCATCTCGATCTGACTTCTGAACCGAGTATTTTTCTTGATGTAGCTTTGCTATGTAGACGGTTCTTCAATCTTTTGAGGAATTGCTTTTTAGCTTTAGGTTAGGTAATAGGTACCTATGCTTGAATAAGAAGGAAAATATGCTGTAACTTCACCTAATTCAGTTCATGTACGTAATCTTCGAATTTTAGTAGTTTATCTTCATGGAGGAAAATGTCAAGAGCTTATGACAAGAAGGAAAATAAGCTATATCTTGAATTGATCCAGTTAATGTACGTATATCTTAATGCTCAAATTGTAGGAGCTTCATTGTCAATGGCATTACTTCAATTACTGAAACAGTAGCCGAGCTATGATTAAATCATTATTTAAATAATTCTTTAACAAATTTATTGCAATGCCTTAACAGCAAATAAATGCAAATGATAAGTAGAAGAAACACTTAATTCACTCGATTTTCTGAGCGCGAGAATGCCCTCGCTGAAATTTATTTGGTCGGCAATCCACTTTTCAGGAGAATTCTTCAAGCATGTTTGTGTTTTCCATAGTTTGCTATCACGTTTTCCATAAATAACTTATTCATTACACATATGTGTGTCTCTAAAAGAAATAAATGCCCCATAAAAATTAAAACACATAACTTTTGCTGTTCGCAAACAGTACGCATAATTTCCAATAGCGACGGCGACAAGACATTGACCAATCACGTTGCGTGTTTCCTGCTGGCGTTGATTTGTACTGTGGGCCAAATGGCGTGAATAGAATTACCATACTATTCTCTTTATAAGATTGCGTGAATAGGGTGCCGTAAATAGAGTGGGGTGGAATGATAGTACGCCATTTGGTAGCACAACCTTTATAAGATTGGGCCCAGGAGCGACACCGGCACACCGTTACTCGGTGTCCACCATTCCCTGAGCTCGTATATCAGCGGCCTCGGTCCGTGCTGCCGCTGCTCACCGTATATCTCCAGTAGTCTGACCGTCCGTCCCAGGTCAGTGAGGTGACTGATGGTGTCGGCAGCCACCCCCTGTAGCGACACTGACAGACCATCATCCTCGTACCATTCCGGCCACCTCGGCTCCGTCACCTCCGGCCCTGTCGTACAGAGCTGTGTCAGCTGACTGCAGTCGGACGGAGCTGCCGCCAGCTCCCCGCTGCACCACTGACACCAGAGTGTCAGACGCTGACACAGCCAGCACTGATACCTACAGCCGAGCGGCCGCACAGCAATATTTAGCACCAGCACTCAGCAGTCATAGGGTGAAGTCGTATAAGAGTACGCACTTAGTGGATTTCTTGCTCTCATTTGTTTAATATTTGAAGGAAAGAAATCGCAAATAGGGAATATTAAAGTTCATTGAATTAGCCATCAACCCATGGGGCAACGATCCTTCAGCGTAAATGGAAGTGGTCTAAAACTGACATTTTCTGAACCGTTGCACTTGCGTACTCTTACCATATGGGGTGTGTAAGAGGAGTACGCACGCCAGGCGGGTGGAGTACGCAAGCATATGAACACACACCTATGCAGCTTGCACTGTCCAAATGCTTAACTTCAAACTCAGAAGGCATTTAAGTTAATTCAAGTATCCAAAAAGAAAAACAAAATAAATCTTTCAAGTCTATAAATCAGGAAATAAACATGTCGTGTGTTTCTTAAAAAAAGCACAATCAAAAAGGAGAATACCTCGTATTTGGAAGAATTTCGGGTACGCATCTGCATCACAGTGCTCCATTGATGATATACCTACAAAACAAACGTCATTGAGCGATAGATTAATAACTCTATATTTCTGTATATTCGATTTTATGTATAATTCTGCGTACTCTTACCCTCCTGAACAGTGCGTCCTCTTACCGTACATGCAATTCGCGCACAAAACAACCCCGAAACGTTGTGCAAAACTTCGCAAACAGAATATTGCACTGTACAGTATTTCCCCAGATAACCTCACAAGTTTCCCACAACAATCACGGAAATGTACCTTATCTCAACTGCCAAGTATCAAAATTATTGTACCATATCATAATAATATCATAACGCTCGAAAATAATATTCATCGCCTTAAACTCAACAGCGTCGCCGCTCAACGCCCACGTTCCGTTGGTGACATGCACGCACTGGCGGCTTCATGTTACTTCATGAACTCGACAAACCCGCGTTGCTAAGCAACCGAAACAGCTGATGCGTACTCTTATCGCCCGCGTACTCTTACCCGCCCTTACCCTAGGTAGGTATGTAGAATGTGAATATTATGAACATAATAAGTACCTATATGCGATAAGTATATGCGTAGTACAATAGTCTATGAAACTACTTATACTACTCTCATTGGTTGCACTATGTCTATAATCATTCCCCATTGAAATACTTGCTCTCTAATTGTAACAATGCCTGCATTCCCGTGCTGGCCGCCTTCGATCGTGGCGCCACCTATACTCTGTATAACCGCCCCGCCAGGGTCGCGGCCAGTCTGTCCCGTCAGTCTGCTCTGTAGCAGGGTGTCGGGCTACTGATCAGTGTTTGTGCGAGGCTGGTCATTCACTGGCGGGCACATTGACTGCTACGCACTACTACAGCGGCATAGGTCACAGGGTTGGTGGGCATTCACAATGGGGTATTAAAAGGTTGCCTGATGTTTCTCTCTGCCTACGCTCCCTTCTGTTTTATTCAACGAAATCTCATCTGTACTATTGTTCTTCAAGTCCAGAGGTGAATAAAACTCAAAAGCTGTCACCTACGCGATGTCTAGCTGTCACGATTTTTTTTACAAGTCATCTTGAAACAGTAGGTGCCATATTTTTACGTTTCCTCATCACCTGAAGGCCTACAAAAATTGAAAATGAGGCTAGAATGTTAGAAAGAAACTGACTTTTCAAATTTCGGCCTCTGGGCATTACAACGCATCACCACATTTCAGTGACACAACAACAGCAAAATAA